TGCAGTGGTCAAGTCGTCTGACATTCTGCTACCGTTTGCCCTCCACTACTAGGTCGTGGGTTCGAGACCTATGTGGGACAGTCGCCAGGTACTGGCCATAGGTCGATGATTTTTCTTCGAACTCCAGAATTCCTTCGCTACCAAAAACTGGCACGTCCTTAAATGTCCATAGCTGTTAATAGGAAGTAAAACAAACACACAAACAAACAAACAAAACCAAAAAACTTTATTATCAGAATTAATAAGATTTATTATAAAAGAAAACAATATTTGTTACAATTCTTTCATTTGCTTATTTTACCGTTTTACCTCTAAATCTAGGTATTTTTACATACATAAAAATGAGACTTAGGAGGTTTTGCTTACATGATTTCTAATGCTACTGCCATCCGTCGTCATGCGTAGTCCATCGTGCGTATACATTTTTACATTTTTGACTTCCTTTCCAAAACCACTGAACTAATTTCATTTTAAAAAATCAAAGAGTATATTAAATGGATCTCACCCCATGATGGGTGTGGGTAAAAGGAGTCTTATTGGCAAATATTTCAACAATCTTCTTCTTCAGACCCAGATATGTCCGACACAGCTACCCTTTACTGCTGATTAGGGTCTGGTGGTGATTTTTCAAAATTATTAATTTCAGTTACCCCGAGTCAAACATTTCTTTCTGGAGAGGGGGTTAATTTAACTACAAATGATATCGAGAAATAATATTTTGGGGTATATTTTCATTGAAATGCAATTAAAACTTTGTTAGAATTTTAATCATGTTATGATAATTGGATGGTATGAAAATTAACACCCTGGCTCATCCCGTGGTCCAGATGGGCGGCATGTGAGAAAGGCAATGGGCTCTGTGCCCATACCAGGACATACCAAAGTTCGTTAAAAAAGTATCGTGTGTATCCCCTGCTTAACGTGCAGCATTTGGAATGATGGCAACAACTGGTTCACCCGTTGTCAGTATAATGTGGCAGGCGGAATGCTTTGCCGAGTTGTATTTCAGTGAAGTAGCACTATAAAATCAGCATCAGATCCGCGCTACCACATGGAGGCAAATACACTAACATACTCTGCCACCAGCACAGACACACACTCACGCATACACAACACACATGGAGGCACATTTCTATGTAAATACCCTTTTAACCTGTTTATAGGACGTTATACCCTTTACAACCAACAAAAGGGATCAAATAAGCAAAAACGTATAGTATTATTCGTCACTTTTCATGCATAGATAGAAACATTTGATTAAAATGATGACAAATGAGGAAAAGACATTTCCGATTACTTTTTGCGTAACTTCCAATTCAAAATTTCTGTAGTTTCAGGTTTGATTAAACATGATATATTAATAACAAAGGTTTATTATATTTGTTTTTGTTTTGTTTGTTTTTGTTTAACGACCTATTAACAGCTAAGGTCATTTAAGGACGGCCTCCTCTGTGCAAGATGCATGTGTGTGTATTTTGGGAGGCTGCGATATGTTCGTGTTTGTCTCCTTGTGATAGCGCGGAACTGATGCCGACTTTAAAGTGCTACCTCACTGAAACATACTGCCGAAGATACCCAGCAGAACGCCCCACCCGGTCACATTATACTGACAACGGGCGGACCAGTCGTCCCACTCCTTATTTGCTGAGCGTTAAGCGGTAGAAGAAACTACCATTTTTAAAGACTTTGGTATGTCTCGGCCAGGGGACAGAACCCAAAGCCTTCCTCACAGGGGCGAACGCTCAACAAATGGCCAAAAGTGAGGCATTGTCAAGGGAGACATTAGGAAGAAAAAGTTATTTAGAAAGGAGAGAAGAGATAAGGTCCCAAATTTAGTCGCCTCTTACGATCATGCAATTTGGGGCAGCAGGTACAATTCTTACGCCCTACCTGCAGGGTATTATATAAGACTCGTCTCACTGATAATCAACAATAACCTCATTATATCATTATTGTCAATTAAGAGAGAGAGAAAGTATTATAAGATCTATAGAAATATTATTGGAGGCATTGACCCTTCCCTTCTCCTTTAATAATTAATAAAGAATCTTCCAGTTTTGGTCTCAAACACAAACAGAAATAACCAAATGTCTTGATAATGAAATCAAACCATAATAAAACATTGTATTAACAAAATTACGCTTTCAATGAATGCTCTTCTAATCTTCATATATATATGTTGTCAAAATGGTTTATGCAATCCGATTCAGAGAATAATGAAGGTTTCATTGATATCCTTACCATTTAAAATAAAAATACATTTGTATTCTGCGATGGAAGCTAATGTTCGGATACAATTTGCACATGGAGGCACGTCTAATCGTCAGCATTTGGGATAATGGCAACAAGTTGTTCAAACGTTAATTTTAATTTGAACGGGCGGGATGCTGTACCGAGTGCCTACCTTAGCTGTCAATAGGACGTTGTACCCTATATAACTAACAACCTTAAATGACCTTAGCTGATAAGTAGTGTAAATTAAATGTACCGTCATACAATTTTCTAGCTACCTTATTTGGCCGTATCTCTTACATTTAACAGAACACTCTTGAACATCAAAATCTAATAAAACTTTAAACCGGAAATACCTTTTCTTCTTTCGTGATAAGGTGTAGTGTCCTCATAACGGCTGAGGTGTCATATGCAGACAAGTAAGCACTCGTCTTCATATTGCCTTATTGCCCCCCCCCCCCCCCCCCAAAAAAAAAAAAAAAAAAAAGAGACGAGAGATTGAACGGCGTTTTTTAAACTTTCGTGCCGGTATATTGCATGTTTGATATTGATGTAACCGATTTATTTGTTCTTAAATAATTTATTTATTTCCTACGTTTTGTATATGAGTCGTCCTTTAAACGACATTGGCGCAACAGCCCTGTTTAAATAAAATTGGCGCCAATAATTAACCGAAGTCTTTGAGCGGTTGACGCAGGGGGATTCTCTATGTTTTCTTAAACCACCTGTCACGTCACGAGAGTTTTTGCTTTCACACTTAAATGAAAGGCATTTCTGCTGGTAGTGTTCATATATTAGGTTGCATAGCAAATGTAAATATATAGAAATAAACAATCGAAGAACCTTGCAACTGCCAAAGCCAGATAATTATTGTGTCAAGAAGATATATTGTTCAAATAAAATCACCCTTTTTAAAATGTAACCAGTTCTTTAAAGCCTATATTTCTAAATTACCCTTTAACGAATAACCGCTTAAATACAATATGGTATATATAGAACGAAAACGTATAAAAATGCGGACAAATCTAAACAGCTGTGAGATGAATATAACAAGACAGATAAAGATGGATTTTCTTTAATATGACACCATCAAAACATCCTCAGCTCGTAAATCACCTCGCTAATATCGTTACATGGTAATACGGTATACTCGTCGCGAATAAAAGTAGATGAAAACACCGGTAATTCGATGAATTATTAATACCTCGGCCGATCGTAGACATGATTGATTTCTCAAATCGATAAGCCTCGATGTGGAATCGGAGAAGAGAGTACAATTACATGGGCTCTAATTTGATTTCCATGGAAGCTGCCAAATGGTGATCCAATTTTCCGGTCATTCCGACGGTAGCTGGTTTACTTTATTACATACACCCAGCAAGTGGTAGGTCAACCAAGGTCAAATTAGGTAACACGTCATCAGAGGGCAATTCGTTCTTCGAATTGTTGAAACATAAGCAATTGCCGCAACTTGCGTTCTTTAGCACTGTTTTATAAAGTTTTAAGGTTTACATTATTCAGGTTACCAATTCAAACGACGTCTAAAGGAAACATTTCATAATCCGACAACACACAGGAAACGATTGCAAATAAATGTATGCAGATGTGATAAGGGAAAATGATAAATGTGTCAGCGCCTAACAAGATTTACACAAATACACTGCAAAGCTTTCCGAAATCTCACTCTTGCAATTTCCTAGGCCTTCCTTTGAGTAATCTAGAAGCGATTCAGGCCTGTGATTTTGCCATAATAAATTGTTCATTATCAGACGATCGGTGACAATGTTTTGATTAGTACGAAGGGGGCTGTTTTTTTTTACAAACAAGTAAAACTAAGTCATCAATTTAATATTACACACTCATTGACTTTTAAGGAACTATAAGCACTAATATTTTGTTCTCTTAAATATTTTTATAATTCGTTCTTTTCCCGTTTCACTACTTATTCTAAATTCAGTTTCCTGTTAATGATGTAGAAATGTATGTTTCTCCTAACAATTCATTTTTTATGCATTTTGTTACTAGAACGATTGTACCTACTGCATATCATAGGAGGCAATTAATGTACCCCCTACACACATACAAACACACACACAAAATCCCCCACCCCACACACATACACCCACACATACACACACACACAAACACACACACACACACACACACACACATACACACACATATCACTCCCTGCAAAATCAGGGTTTTTTCCTCTGTACCTCCTAAGTAATCTTCGAGGGGGGCGGGAGGACACATTACTTGCCTTGTAGGAAACACGTGTAGTAGGATACAGCAGGACTGTTTTTGGTTTCCTCGATGTCCCCGCTAAACAGGAGACAATGAAGGAACCACCCCTAATTTCGCAAGAGGGGGAACATTAATTACCAATTATTATCGTGCAGTTTGATTTAGTAGTTCTTTTTACTAACCTACACGGGCTAGTAATATTGGTTTGTCTCAAACGGAGGATCACATGATGCAGTTACAACATAACGAGGCGTTAATGCAAGTTTTCGGTTTATGTGTGCAAACTTCAATTGTCTTTTTTAAAATTAAATGGATTAACATTAACATTTGGTTTTGTTAAGCTGATCACACGTTGATCAATTCTACCAACAATAACATTAAGGCGTTGATCACCTCTACCCAGAATGACAGTATGGCGTTGATTAATTTCACTGAGAATAACAACAATAATCAGTTGCACTAATGAAGTTTATACCTGCATCTAATGTATTGATTAAACTGTATTACTTATTTCTCACCAGGAACTTGAGACGTGTATATTGGCGAAGATAGACGCGTGTGACGTCATCGCTACACGACAGGCGTACCTGATACTTAACAACGTGAAGGCTCTGATTCCCACATCCGGGCGACATGCATGTGGAGCTCCGACGCATGCGCTGCCAAAGTCATCAGAACATAAACTAAGTATGATGATAGTCCATTGCCTCATGAAGTACATGGGTTATACCAGTGAATCTTGTTTAGGTCACTCTTTGAAGTGGCGAAGACCTCCTTATGCTCTGCTATTTGCTTGGCTTCTGTTTTGTGTGTTGCTTTTGTGTGGAAGTATGGACACTATGATCAATTTCTTTTCAATTTTTAATCAAGTGAAGGATTGAATATTCATATTTTGAAATGAATTTTAAACAAGCATACAATGTTCTAATCCAATCGTAGTTTGTCTTCCATTTATCGAAATATTATGACAATGATTTTTGTTACTATTAAATCAGTACGTCACAAATTGTTTCTTGAAAACTTGCTGAAAATTTTAAATATTTACCTGAAATTTGGTATTTACCATAAAATCTGAAATTTTAGCAGCATCTGGGAAAAAAGTTCTTAATCAATTTTACATCGGAAAAAAATATTTTGGGCTTAAAACTCAATAAAGGTATTTTTCTCTCACTTATCTGTAAGAAGTATTTTAATCTACAATAAAATAAGGACATATACTAAACAGGTTGAAAAGTATAAACTACCTTGCAAATGGACACATTTGTACGGTTTTTGAGTTTGCGTATATCAAATAAAACCTAATCTGCCAATTTTATCATTTGTTTGTTTTACAGATTATTCTCCTTGCTGCGTGGTGAATTTACTTCAGTGCATGGCAAGAGCGTACCAAATGTTACTTCAGGACCGGAGGTCATGTGATGCCATAACGGATTTCACTTCCTGTTCTTCTTTCTCTTTCCGCTCCTATGACAGTCAGCCTGCGGAAAAGATATTCCAGTCGATAATGACACTCACTCGGACTTGTATCCATTCCCGGAAACCGTAAACAAACTGAGCGGAATGAGGACACGAGCAATGCGATGAGTAATTACGTGTTACTTGATCGAAACTATGATAGGTATTGGATAACGGGTAAATGTCTTTTCGACGCAAATTTTATTTTAATTGAAAAAGACCCTGGTTATCAACACAAAGCACAAAAGAGTTAAGAATCTAATCAAGAATGAAAATATACATTGTGACGTATTTGTACAGACAAGCAATCGATTCAAACCGCAGGAGGGGATGTAACTCTTGTACTACATGATACTTGCACTGATGAACAACGACGTTATGCTAGAATTTTAACTAAGTCATCTTACAAAACAATACCCGGTTTTTTTTTTTTTACTTAACCTTACCTTCATTAAGTTTTTGCAAATGGATCAATTGTAGATACAACATAACTGATTGGTTGATGCAAGTACAATCTGTTCGCTTGACCCACTGTATAAAGAGAACATTGAAGGAGAGTACTAGTTGTTATTCCTTGTGGTGATTTTATTGTAAACTGAACCTATGTTAGAGACCATTTGTAGTGTCCCTATTGTAGTGATATAATTTTGAATCGAATCTTTACTAAAACAAGATGTAGAGATACCAGTTTGATGATTTCCACGGGGGTCTCGTACTTCATTTCAGTTGTAAAAAGTTGGCCAATCAACACAGTGGTCTTTAGGGCCAATAAAAGGTAAATAAAACACGTAAAATGAAATGACATCAAATAAACTAAAAGATAAAAAGACAAATGTTAACTTAAAAACCAAAAGTGGATATGGTAAGTTATATTTTTAGGTAGGTTAGAACTGTTTTGATATTTACCGTTTCGAAGGGAGAGTTGTTAGATTACTATAGAATTGTTCTCGTGTTGACTGGTCAATAAAATAGCAAGTGCTTTACTGTAAATGGTTCGCAAGAAAACTTTGAAGAATATTTCGATCAGTGAAATACTAGCATTAACTCATAGTATTACCTCACAATGTCAAGATACATTATGTTGGGTTCCCGGACATTTGGCATTACCAGGCAATGAAAAGGCAAAACGCACCGCCAACGCGGCTTTATTGCTACCACCTATTACTTTTAAACTGGTCAATAAAATAGCAAGTGCTTTACTGTAAATGGTTCGCAAGAAAACTTTGAAGAATATTTCGATCAGTGAAATACTAGCATTAACTCATAGTATTACCTCACAATGTCAAGATACATTATGTTGGGTTCCCGGACATTTGGCATTACCAGGCAATGAAAAGGCAAAACGCACCGCCAACGCGGCTTTATTGCTACCACCTATTACTTTTAAACTGGTCAATAAAATAGCAAGTGCTTTACTGTAAATGGTTCGCAAGAAAACTTTGAAGAATATTTCGATCAGTGAAATACTAGCATTAACTCATAGTATTACCTCACAATGTCAAGATACATTATGTTGGGTTCCCGGACATTTGGCATTACCAGGCAATGAAAAGGCAAAACGCACCGCCAACGCGGCTTTATTGCTACCACCTATTACTTTTAAACTTCATTTTACAGATTTTAAATTGTTTACAAATTTTGTTAGATCAAAGCAGCAAAATAATTGGAATTAATGCATTGACAACAACTAAACTCTTTAAAACCCAAATTCGGGGAATGGTATCCAATTTTTATTGAAAACAAATTTACTAATTAATTAGTTCTTAATATTCATCTCAACATCATGCATGTATTATTACTATAACATCAGCTTCGGAATAAGTACAATGGAAGTAAATATAGTCGAAACGTAGAGCATTTCTTAGCCCATGCTACAACAAGCCATCCCCCAACAAGACATCATCAAAGGAGGGCTCTCTTATATCGTTTGTTATCAACTTTCTTTCTACTTATCCATATCTTTGTATACTGACACGCACCATTCTAAAACCCTTTATTGTAAATAATCTATATGTATATATCCTTGTATTCTGATACGCACCATTTCAATACCTTTATTGTAAATACTTTGTATGTATTGAATGAATAAATGTTCCGCGATAATAAACTCATATATATATATACGCTGATCGTATCGACACATAGGCTTTCGACATGATTGACCATATAATGTAATTTTAGTATAAAGAACATTTTTTGTTTCACTGTTTTGTTCCTGCACATACTAACTCCGTCGCCGAGAAGAGTCTTGGTAACACTTAATACAATAATTTACACATGCCACGCAGGTACATTGTCTAAAGCAAACTGTTTACGACGAAATTTAAAGAAACCATATATATATATAACTATATTTTTGTGTCTTTAAAGATATCAAGATTTGGTAACATTTCAATAATTCATCTAATTTCAATTTCAAACACGCGAACACACTGAAAATCGATAATAGTAATAAACTTATCTTTTGATTTCATACGATCGAAATATACTCTTGCCTGATTGCTGAAGTAAAATTTTTGATATTCCGCCGAAATGAAAACTTTGCATAGGTAGGTATTGTGTGCATATAATGAAATAGGACGTAGAGCCTGTTGTGTAGTGTGTATGTTTAAACAATGGGGAATAATTACGAAAAGTCGTTATGGTGTTATATCATTTTCGGTCATGTACATGTGTTAAGTTTGAACATTTTGTAAATATTTTAATATACACATAATGAACGATTCTCGGAAGTATGTTTTCAGTCAATCTGATCAAAATAATTCAGAGATAATGTAGCGGAATTAACGTCTTTATTTTAGGAAACGATTGCATGTTTACTTATACTGACGTTTTTACGCCTATTGAAGTTTCAAAATATATTTTGTAATTGAGCGAGTACCACGAGTTAACTCAGTTATTACAATGTTCGACATTAAAAACACTGACTATTAATGATTGACTAAAGTTAGATTTTATGACGTCTTTAGAGTCCAAAAGCATCGTACGATTATTTATAGTCTTAGTTGCAATACATTCAACCACCCACTCACTTGAGTTTGTTGAGGATTTCTCGCCCAAAGATAACTATTAAAACTAAAAAAGAAATGAACTATAAAGTAACATGTGTCGTTATTGAACTAGGTGACGGCATTGAGGATGTGAAAGGGGAAAACAGTTATGAAATAATAAAAAGAGAAATTAAGGGGAAAAAAAAACATGTTTAAAATGAAGCCCAGACGACTTCATCAATTTCCCTGGTGGCATTATATGATTACAATAAATACGAGATGGTATCTTTTTATGAGATAAAAGTGACATAATTTAGAAGTGAGATTACAGTTTTCGTACTGAGCGTGTTTTACTGTTGTTAAAACTGTTATACAATTATTGATATATAATGAGGAAAACAGCAAATAATGACTAAATGCTGCAAAACGAGAATAAACTTTCATTCTTGCAGTTGCCTTTACTACATAAGTGAAACGCTGCAGGTAGTTTTTGAGGAATTTCTGTAGAATGGGGGTTTCGTCAGCGCTTTTTAATTTGGGATTTGTTGGGGGGGTGGGGAGGGGGGTAGACGGTGTCTTCTTAGGCACCCTTAATCCTCTGTCTTAGATAATTCGAAGTGTTAAACCCACTTAACACAAAAAAAATAGTTGATTTGTCAGTAACATTGCTAATCAAGTTTACAATAGATTCATCTATATATTGATAAAACACAAAAACTGGCAATTGCATTGAGATTTAACCGGCCGATCGTTATTAAAAAAGTCCCTGGTTTCGTATGAAAATCAAGAATATGATTTTGAGATAACACTAAAAGTGATTTTTAAATATTTTAAACATTTTAAAAACAATGTATGTCTACATGTATAACATTGTTGATGTGATATTGGTTGTGAACCTGACATGTACTTATTACCTTCACTGATTGTGTAAAAAAAATGTACATTATGAATAAACATAATTGTCCTTGTATTCGTTATTCCGTACTTTATTTATGTATTTGTATGCAGAGTAATCCACAATTATCGTTATTAAGTACTTAGAAAATAGTTATTTTATTGTCTATCCAGGTCGGATTCTGTTTTAAACAATGTGAAGTGTATCTACTCTGTCAGAGTTTGTCAAGACTGTAAAATGCAAATTGCGATTTTACGGGGAGAAAGCCAAAGCGTCAAATGTTACCAACAAGAATTATATTTTGTTTTCCGCCAAGTCATACGGATACGTACTTAGTATATCATAACAAAAAGGCTACCGTGAAGCGGTACATAATACGCCCGTCACACGTTAAGTGAGCAGATATTGCATCATTAAAAAACATATGTGTGCGTAATTGATGATAAAGAGGAGAAATCAACATATCTGGTAGATCAATGGGTGCAATAATGAATGCAATATTAATGACGCGCCTTCCTAACGGACGTCATTCTATGTACATGTATCTGTCACCAAGTTTGCATTCATATTGGCTAAAACTGCAATCGGACAGACGTTCAATCGTTATATTTACATTTCCTCATACGACATGTCGTCTATTTATTAGTCGGATGAGCTTAATTTATATTTCCTGCTTTCGCAAAACCTCACTGGTCCAATTCTTGGAACAGCCACAGACGGCCATTATCGGACCGCAAACTTTCCAAACAACGGTCGCCATAAAAAAATGTAACCAGTCGACAACTGTTAAATGCAGTTAAATGCTCTAGTTATATGTGCAGATTATTCTAATAGAAATGTAACTTCCTATTCTGGTTGTCTTCATTGTCTGCAAAACCCGTCAAAATGCGACTTGTAAGAACCAAATGACAACAAGATGGCGGCTATCGTATCGGTGGGAGTGGTTGCTAATACTGACGTCACGGAAACCATTGGCATGTGACCAGATAATGCAGACTGTAGTTACTGTCCAATAACTTCAGGATGACTTTCCATTGAGTAAGTGGAAAATGGGAAGGACATATGTAAATATAACATCTTGGAATGCATATAATACTGCATTGCATGAACCCTAAGGGAATAATACATCTTTCAAATTACAGTTAGATAATAGTTCTCGTGGTAATTAACCTTCCTAAAGTGTATCAATTACAGTCTGAAAGTGTTGGTTTTAAACTTCTCCAAGCTTTCATGGTAATAAACCGTCATATGCAGTTTGAAGGTAATCTACAGGAACTTACTCGAGATATCGAGGGGACACTTTTACAGAAATCTCTAAAAGGGTATAACTCAGTCATTAAAAGAAAGATTATTATGGTTATCGAACTTGACCAAACTGTTATCGTCATAATCCTTCCCATGAAGTTTGCAGTTGATTCGTTTTAATTTACTAGGGATACGGAAAAAGTAGATAGAGCTGCTTAGGCAGCACTTAACCTCAATACGAAAGATATTAAACTGCCTTACTCTGACTTTAAACCTTCAATAACTAATTTTATTAAAACTAATTGGCAAAGTAAATGGTATGTGAAAAGAAACAATGAGTAGGTTCATAAGCAAATGGTAGAGCAGACCGCAGAGAGGAAGTTGTCCTCTCGCGACTATGGATAGGCCATACCTACATCACACATAGCTACATTTTCATGGGGAAGACCAACCTTGTTGTCTTGCCTGTGATCAGCCATTTGCAGTCCAACACTTTATGATTGAATGCGCTGATTTAAAACAAATACGTGTCAGAATTTATAATGTACCCTCTATGAAACGTTTATTCGATACAATCAATCTATGATTATTTACATTCAATTAATCTCTATAATAAGATATGATATATTCGTAAAAACAATAAAAAAAAATTACACTGTTGTTTGGCCGTAAATGACTCAAATTGTCGATGGGCCGTAAAACAATAAAAAAAAGGGGGGGGGGGATTTGATAGGGCTTGTCCGAGCTCTCATAGTCATTAATTTCCTATGAAGCTTTAATTTAATCTGTTGAAACTTACGGACACGTTGCGTGCCCGCCCGCTGATCACGTGATAGTATCCATCAACATGTAACATTTAGTTTACTCAATATATGACATATATATTTTGTGTTTTTTAAATCAACAATTGCCAAGTTCATTACATGTTACTGAAACAGTGTCCGGTCGATATATCGGGTATTTTTCATGATTTATTTTTTTGGTTTGAAATTAACTGCTTAAATAACTGGATTTTACAACTACAATTGTATGATATCCGAATGATTTGTGGAATTATCACAAGAAAGCGAACTGTTGTTAGCTAACGATTTATGTGTGCTGATAGATGCATTTTATATCCTGAAACAGTCAATGTGTATTTTATGTGGTTACACTGTAGCTCAGGTTACGAGTACAGTTAATGTGTGAACGAGTTGACTGACAGATTTTAGCTACGGTATACTTATGAACCAATGTTTCAGTTATCCAAACAGTCCTACATATGTTTGTGATAACAAAATGAATAAAACGTTATCAATGTAGGAATCAATTACCACATTTGGGACTGACACTTTATATAACACTGTAAGTTGGCAGTCACCAGCCTATAAAGAGCCCAGAAAATTCTAAGTAATACGAAACAAGTTGAGGCTACCTCCCCTTAATCGGTTATTTTCAGGCGTTTGTCGATAAAAGAAAATGTAAATGAATGTATATCTGATAAAATGATGCATTGTGAACGGGCCCGTATGAAGATGTCTTGAGGGTTAATAAAGTATATATAAAACATGTAAAAGGATATAACATCAAACAAACGAAAACATGAACAGACAAACGGCATATTAGTGTATCACAGGAACATGATATGCACCTGTGCGTCAAATATCCGTACACTTTAATATGGTTTGCCTTGGTGTCTCATCAAAAAATGCTATCCACCTACCCTACTACCTACTGTGGCACCTTGGAGTGATTTAATCTTATTCAGTGAACGTCTAATCTATGGTTTGCTTAGAGACCATTTTAACCCGATACCTAAGTGGACTGCCCTACGTGCGTAAATTATTCATTTTAACTCTGGAGTAACCATGTCGCTGATGCCGGTGCATGCAATGATGTAGGGAGTTCACCTATTTATGCAAAGAAAAAAAATGTCATAGTTTTTGTTATTCTTTTTGTGATTCTGGTTCCTATTTTTCTTTTTTTAAATTCATATATATGAACAGTAAGAGACTTGGTAACCAGTATTTCAAGTATCTCTCGCTGTGCAGAAAGGTGTGAAAAACTAAGTCTATTGAAGAGATATAGCCAGTATTTAATAGTTATCCCAAACGTGTGTATATTTAAAATAAGTACAACTCGTAATAATTTAAAATAATAAATTATTCATTCTAAAAATCTCAACAATGATATATCACTTTAGTATTGTCATAACTTATTATTATTATTATATGCTTAAAGGCCGTGATTCAGGGCAATGTGTGTATATTGGTGTTATCTAGGACATTCACAGTATCAATTCTGCCACTAAAACGCACATACCACATAAAACAATTACTGTACATCCAGACGACAACCCTTGGATGACGGGTGAAATTAGCCATAAATTTAGACAGAAACACAGATTTCATAGAAAAGTTTAAGATAAAAATAGAGAACAAGACTGGACTAAGTTTAGAACTTGTCGTAATGACATTATTGATCTTATTAGGCAAACTAAGGATAATTATCTAAACAAAAAAGGCAAAATTATCTTGTTGACAAATAAGTTCATCCAAAGAAATGGTGGCAAATAGCAAAAACTATTCGTAAAACTAATTTACCTAAACCTAGGTCAATTAAGGGAACAACAACAAATAAATATATTGTACAGGTAAATCATTTTATTTATGAACTATTGCCTATGCCCTCTACTTGAGCTGCACATACATATCAATACATAATAACAACCAATTGGATGCATATTTACAAATAACCTAAAATTTATTTACAAAAACGTCCAGCAAAGAACTTACGCTAGGTGCGCCACCTAGCAAGTAGTAAGTTAGAGTTGTTCCCCTTGACTACGCTTTACCTAAACCTACGTCAATTAGGGGAACAACAACAAATAAATAAATTGTAAAACATTTTCTTTATGAACTATTGCCTTATAGTGAGATTTAAACATGTAAAGGAAATGAGAAAATATGATAAAAACATTATAACTCTATTTAAAGTCAACTGGCGTGACTATAATTGAACCATTTGACTCTTTAGAAGAACTTAATACACATTGTAACATAATTACACTGCATGTTAATATGCACGTAAAAATATTGATCAACTAATTAATCCCAGTAAAACAATCAACATATTCTCCGTCATATGATTATGTCCTGTTTAATTGACTTAATTAGCAAATGAGGTATCAGTGAACACTTTTGGTGTTTTCGAATGGAAATAGTGGTCGAAAAGCACAGATTCTGTTTTCCATCTACCGATTTTTCTGACAACATTTGGATTAAAGTCATTCCCTATAGCACACGTAGCACAAGTTGGACGGAACGACTTGGCAGAATAACCGAGGTTCTCAAGTCCAGCTAATTGTACTGTTTCATTTAGAATACTAGCTACCGTGGAGGAGTTAATTGCTTTATACGGTTGACGTAACCTCAAAAAAAAAAAGTCATGGGGATCCCGCAAACTGTCCGTTTTTTCAATGTAGTCCCTGAAGGCTCCTACTGGATCCAACACGAGTGAGGTTGAACTTGTACTTCGAATCCATCCCTTTTTGTGTCATTTTTTTATCCCGCAAAAACTGGAATTGAAGGGAACCATCGTCCTGAAAGTCGAGTTGACGCGTAGAGAACACGACACTGCCATCTACTGTCTTAGTCCTGGGGGCAATATCAGCAGACAAGTTGAGTAAAGTTATCGCTTTTAAACGCAAATCTTTTATGCACAACTCAGAGTTATATCCCCATGATTGAAACAAACAAGTAAATTCGTCCACATGCATTACCGTAGATTTGTTTACAGGGGCCTGAGTATAAGCTCTCACAAAAGCCTGTGTCATTTTGAATATT